TTTTGGACATTTTATTTGTTTTGAGAAGATGTGTATAAGAGACAGTATATATATGGGTGTGTGTGTGTGTGTCAATAATTAGATACTATTATTATGATGCTTATAAACGTAGGAACTGAATTTGTCGGACCGTCAAGAAGGACATTTGCTGGAATTGCTATTGAGTTCTTCTGGGCCTTTGGTTATATGGCATTTGCTGGTATAGCGTATTTCATACGGAAATGGAGGATCTTAGCGATCGTGATATCTGTTCCAAGCTTAGTATTCTTCGCGTATTATCCGTGAGTATCATTTTTGTTTTACAAGTTATTGTTAAAACAAAATAATAATGATGATGTTAGAATCCAAATTTTTAAATGCATAAAACACCACAGCACAGTTTGCTAAAACAAAATAATAAAGGAAATCCCCCTCCCCCTCCCCCTCCATCTAAAACAAAAAAGAGACTTATGGTGCTTATGTGCTTACAGGATTTGTTGGATTTTCAGAAAATTTTATTTAAATATATTTGGAAACAAGAGGATGAGATGATGGCTGAATTCAAATTAACTACTTCAAATGAAAATGGACCTTCCCGAGTGTCAATCAACCTTAAAAACTGACCAATCAAAAGAGGGCAATGAATACGCGCATTTGGTACAAGCACACGTGTTTTCACTCAAACGCATGTGTTTGCGCATGTTTCGTTAACTTAACTTTAACGTTAGTACCCAACATGCAACGCGATAGCTGCGCCCCTTTTGTAAACAAATCGAAATACGCATGCGCAAACCCGTAATTAACGTACGCCGAGCACGTAAAATTCTGAAATTTACGTACTCCACAACGCAAGATGAATACATTATGACGTCATCTGTTAAGGTTAACGTCGTGCGGCGAAAACTACCTAATAGGGAGCTTTCGATTGCACTACGACGGTAGTGATTCTGTTCTAGCGTCGCGTCGTCGCACAAATCGAAAGCGCCCTAAAAAAGCCTGTTTTCTACTTAGCGAATTTAATCGCGCGAATCAAAGTATTGGTTCGCTCCCTGAGCTCTGATTGGTTGCGGATTTTTTCACTTTGCAAAGACTCCGACAGGCATGTGAATGCGGATACGCTTTCGATTCTCCCGAATAAGTTCACCTAGTGGAAAACGACCTTACAGTCGTTTATGGTATCTTAACAACAATATACAAGGGACTGGGTGGGGCTTAGCGCAAAGGTCCATTTATAGCAGTCCAAGTAAGATATGTCAAAATTGATATTAATTTTATAATCTAAATTTTATTTCAGGTTCATTCCTGAGTCCGTTAGATGGCTGTTGAGTCAAGGTAAGGTAAAGGAAGCCGAACGAATTATCAAAAAAGCTGCGAAAGTAAACAAAGTCACACTTCCAGAAAATATATTCGATGAAAAATATTTGAAACAGGTATTACGAATTGTTGTTTTTTTATGAGTTAATACAATACTAAATCTCAATATGCCGAGTTGTTCTATCTCTTAAGTCATGTTACTCATTATTTTATTATAACTAATATCATTATTGACACGGTTTTACTTGACCTACCTAAGTTTGTTACGACATTTTTCCTGTAGAATAGAAGTTACTGGTTGCAGAATTACATAGTTGTGCATTTTATTACCAAAGTGTGAAATTTTAAAGAGGATAAATTTGATATGATTTAGATTTTTTGTAGAGTTGTGTAGGCCTATCGTCCTTTTTTTTTTATTCCAAATGACCCTACACTCAAAGACTAGATCTTCATATTTTGGCATCCTGAAATCATAGAGACTTTTTTTTTTTATCTCTAAACTAAGATCATGACTGTGAGGAACATTTAACCATGGCTAACAAAACCTTTTTACTGTCACAATTTCAATACCGGTACCAAATCTTCTATCCACTATTTAATTTTGGCTACATTATACACAACCTCTACAGGATTAACATTTTTGGCTTCATATTAAAAGTGAATTTTTGTATTTTATGAACCAACTGGTAGCCAATTTTGTGATTTTTCTGATTGTTTAAGCAGTCACACAATTCACGTCACTCTGGAAACTAAGTGAAGACATTTTAAATACAGTAGGCCCACATACATTTTGTAGGGCATACTTTTCAGATTTTTATATTTTGAGTAGGGCTTACCTCTTAAAAGTTATTGTAGGTTATATAATTCCTCAGATGTACAATTTACCAACTTCATGCAGTGAGTTTCCTTTTTAATTATCAGTGGATATGGTGAATTGATTTACATTGGCGTACGACCATAACTTCTATCACTTTCTCGAAGCACTGGGAGCTTTTGATTGCACGACAGTAGAACGTGGATCTTAATGACGTCACTAAGATATAAGCTGTGCACATCGAGAACGTTGTGTGGAATCTGGAGGCAATTTGACCAAATCTACGATGTTTATAGAAAGTAGGATGGTCAAATCGAAAGCTCCCTAATTCGTTAACTTGTGCAGTATCAACTCAATCGATTACATATTATTACATGACTACTACTCTTTGGATATTCTCCGCTGCGGATTTCCTATTCATTTATTATATTTTTCTTTCTATAGGAAAACGTTGAAGATGCTCCAAAACGAGGAACTGTAATTGACTTGTTCAGAACACCTAACATGTGTAAGAAAACGCTCAATTTATTATTCAACTGGTAAGATGATAATAATTTATATGATTCTGTTTGTGGTAAAACCAGATATAGACCAACTGTTGTTGACCTTTCAATTAAAGCAATGAAATGCACTCGGAAAGAATAAAATATATCATGAACTTTAAATGAGCCATTTTGTCGAATAAATAAAGGTTATTTTTGGACATTTTATTTGTTTTGAGACGGGAACATATACTCAAAGAAGGCAAAGTGACGGACGTGTGGCCTGTCCAAATTGGATGGGAGAAGACAAAGTCGCGGGTCCAAAACCCACCCTTCATCGCCTTCCGCTGCACCGCCACTAATGGCAAGCTAATAAATAATATTTGGTGTTAACAGGTTTGTCAACAGTATGGTTTACTACGGACTATCATTGAGCACGTCTGATCTTGGTGTTGATGATTACATTGCATTTTTTGTGTCTGGCGCCATTGAGATTCCAGCCTATGTTCTTTCTATATTTTTTATTGACTATTGGGGAAGAAGATTGAACCTCTGCGGTACCCTGGTGCTAGGGGGCGTTGCCTGTCTTCTTACAATTTTAACACGTAAGTTAAACATTAATTTGAATTTTGATTATGATTATGATGATTCATTTATTATATTTCTAAATATTGGACACACCCCTCAGAAAGTGATTGGGTTCACTGTTGGATTCCCCCTGGTCAATATTTGTGACATTTTACTTTGTTTTGTGTGTTTGCAATAGGCTTGTATTGTGCGTTGTTTTTAAATTGAATTGAAGAATGTGAGAAAAGTAATTCTGATGATGATGATTATAATCAATACGTGATAAAGAGGAAAAAGAGAACAATATTTACTGATAACGTTAATGATATAATATTTTAAATGGAATATGGATAACAATCGACAATGGTTCATACAAACGTTATTCCGTTACACCATTAGGCCTGCTTATTAAGTATAAATCCCAACGTTTTATTCTAAGTTTTGATCCATAGGTGCTTAGGCCTAAACATTCTTTTTTGATATATTTACCAGCAATTGGAGTTGCCCGCACAACTGTAGCTATGATCGGTAAATTCGGTGTAACAGCATCTTTTGCCATCGTTTACATCTATTCGGCTGAAATCTACCCAACGCCTGTCAGGTGATATAACAAACTTGATAATATTAAACCTTAAACTGTGAAATCCGTACACGGTATATAATAAAAATGAATAATATAAACTGAATTGGTTCGTGTAAGAAGGAGTATCATGTACAACGTTTAACATGGCAGCATGGTTTTGTATAAGGTCAGGAAGATGATAGGTGTAGTGAGAAGTCTTGTAGAAACGAGTAATAATATTACATTGAAAACAGGAAAACGTTTGTTACATAGCATAACATTCTTTCATTTAAATATAAACGTATCAAGCGTATCCATTCAGTGGTGGGCAGTGTTAGGATTCAACCGACAGGAGTGGGGATGTCCTATACGGGAGCGCAGTGGTAAAGCATGAAGCCATGCAGTTTAATAATCAGACCAGAATCAAATTTATTATTATTTCCATGAAGTTCGATTTAAAAAAAAATTGTATTTGATGCTTATTTTAAACATATATATTTTTAGCAGCTGTGTGTAACTTTGTTTATGAAGCATGTTTTTGAGTTCAAGTGTATTAACCTTTAGCTCATGTTTAAAATCAGTAGTAACTCATTTTGAGATTGACTTACAAACTTACAAGGTACATTCATAAAACTCTCAAAACTCATCCCACCTAAGATGTGTATAAGAGACAGCTACTACTCTTTGGATATTCTCCGCTGCGGATTTCCTATTCATTTATTATATTTTTCTTTCTATAGGAAAACGTTGAAGATGCTCCAAAACGAGGAACTGTAATTGACTTGTTCAGAACACCTAACATGTGTAAGAAAACGCTCAATTTATTATTCAACTGGTAAGATGATAATAATTTATATGATTCTGTTTGTGGTAAAACCAGATATAGACCAACTGTTGTTGACCTTTCAATTAAAGCAATGAAATGCACTCGGAAAGAATAAAATATATCATGAACTTTAAATGAGCCATTTTGTCGAATAAATAAAGGTTATTTTTGGACATTTTATTTGTTTTGAGACGGGAACATATACTCAAAGAAGGCAAAATATATATAATTATATGTATGTGTGTATATATAAATATATATGTATATATAAACCATACCATCCATGGTGATACAACAAGTACTTATAGCAATTACATGCAATATTATCGCCATGTAATTAAATAACCCGGAACGCGTATATCGTAAATTGATTGAATAGCCCATACAGACTGCGGTATTATGCGCCTTATAAATGCATTGACTGACTGATTGATTGATTGATTGATTAGTGAGGTTTTGGCCCCTCTCTATTTTGTAATAAGTCCCTTCGGGCGTCATGAGGGTTCCTTTTTTGTTTGCTTTTTCTCTTGTCTGTTTATTTTGTATTTGAATTTGTTTTAGACGAAATAAAGTTTTTTGTATTTATATTCTGTATTCGAAGTTATAGAAACAAGAGCTAATTTTGCAGCCAGGAGAAATGTTTTTTAAAATTTTAGTGTATTTTCTCTGGAGAGTCGGTCCAGCTCTTTGGCTCTTCACAATGGGCAGCCCCCCACCCTCTTTCGTGGGGAAAACCACATTTCGCCGGGGAGAAAAAAAAAAATGTAGGCCCTATATGTTATTTTCTACATTTTAGTAGACCCAAAATTGATTAAATAAGCCTTTAAAACCCCTATATGAAATTTTTTTGAAATAGTTTGGATCATTCCTAATTTACTAATGCAATGAAATTTAAAATAAGTTTAATTTTTCGTCACGTAATAATAACTCACTACTGTATTAGCATGATCATGTCCCACAAACATGAGACCCACACCTTAATATTTGTTTCCATACAATCGCTACGCTGTCGCTAAGGTGTTTTAGTGTCCGACGCAATCGAGAACGCTCCCCGATTCACTCGACTAATCAGCATCACCGATCGAAAGCTGCCGGGAATAGCGTGTAGCTTGTTGTTAAAAACAGGATTTGCGGATGTAGAAATAGCTCCAAGCTGAAAATTGTAGCAGCTGAATGTTGAAAATGTAGCGATTAGTACAAATCAAATGCAATTGTTTTTTCTTGATTTATTTGTATTTTTATCCTAACCCAGGAGTGTTGGAATGGGTCTGTCTTCAGTTGCTGCGAGGGTAGGGGGTATCCTGTCGCCTTTCATCTTGGAAATTGAAAGCCTCTGGAAACATCTCCCGCTCGTGATATTCGGCTGTTCATCAATAGCAGCTGGATTGTTGGCGTTATTCCTTCCTGAAACAAACGGCAAACAACTTCCAGAGTCTCTTGCAGAAGGAGAAAATTTTGGAAAGTATGTCAAAAAAAGTTTTATATTCCTTTTATTTATAGGCCTACATATGATACGGTGCTCATGTTATTTACATCATTTATTTTAAGCAACGTTATATCTACTTATGTTATAATAAATGAATTTTAAAACTTTTAGGGAAAACAGTAACAGTAAAATTGCTACGCCATTAGACGTGAACATCGAGGTGAAATCTGGCGAAGAAAATCCTGGTTACGACAAAGCCGACGACAAGGTTTAATGCGCATGACTGCCTACAAAGACGTGATAACGATTAGGCGCGTCCATGACAGCATATTGTATAATTAAAATAAAGTACAATGTGAATAATATCGATTTTTAATATTGTCTATAAAACATGTTTTAAACATTTAAAACTATTTTACTAATTTAGTATCCCATGATGCAATCTGCTTTTTATACGTTTTTTTTTTTTTTTTTTTTTTTTTTTTTTTCCCCGCCTGGGGCGGATTGTTATAAAACGTAGTCTTAACTCTTGTGATAAAGCCGGCTTTATCACTTAGACGGTCTTACTAAAGTCATTCCTCTAAGACTATTGCTATAAAACAGTCTTCCCAAAGACCGCTTTGAGTATTGAAACGCAAACAAGCACTCCCTGGTAACGTAAGATTGAGGGCGACGTCATGCGCGCTCGACGCACTCAAATGTATCGAAATGAACGTAAATAAACGCCGTAGACCTATTTTTACAGACGTTGTGCGGAGTATTCGTCGTTCGATTATCCGACTTTGACGATCTAGGCCTAGGTATTGCCATTGCATCGTTTAATTAATCAGCAGAACGCCATGATGAAAATGATTTTAAACCGTTTTAAGCCTCCACCGAGTAGGCTTTAACATTTAAGACGGCTGACTGGTTAGACAGCGGTATAGCAATGGTCTATAATCATAGACCAGTAGTGACGTCACGAATATAGCCGGCTAACCGTTAAGACCGTCTAAAGACCGCTTATAGCAATCCGCCCCTGATCTGAAGTATAAAAAAAAGATTGTTTTTGTGTAGTTTGATGTGAATTTTAATATGTTACTTAATTTAGGGTATAACATTTGCATCCATGCCTCAAAGAATTGTTTCTGTTCTTTTGTATCTCATATTTTTCATAACAAATTTTATAATAAAAATAATAATAATAATAATAATATTAATAATAATATAATAATAATAATAATAATAATAATAATAATAATAATAATAATAATAATAATAATAATAATAATAATAATCTATTACAGAAATAAATAAATGCATGTTATACAATATTGGATGTAATGTGTTATACGTCCATGGCAGTAAAATGATATAATTTGTTTCTTTTTTTGTTGTTTTAAAATAATTTACAAACCCAAATACGGCAGATTTCTTTTTATGGCTTTGGAAAATAGAAACCCGGGCAACTTTAATTGTATGATTACCCTCATGTACTCAATATAAGAGATAAAGGCGGAAATATTGAGCTTCCGGAAATGGATATGAAGTTTAATTTGTTTAGTAGTAGGAACTCTTCTGTACCATTAGAGAAGACGCGTGGAGTTCACACTGGTATTTATTTCAAGTTTATACTTTGTAGAGAGCAGCTTAGCTCAGTCAGCTAATCTGGTGGTAGCCACTGTGTGTGCGCTGAACCTCTAGGTCCCCGGTTCAATTCCCATCGCTGCCTCTCCTTTGTGTTTAAGCTAGAGGGCTGAAATACAATAGCGCACCGTCTTTCGGATGACACGTTTAAGCCGTTGGTCCCGTGTGCATTATGGCCCATGTGCACGTTAAAGAACGCAGTACACTCTTCGGAAAAGAGTCGAGGATTGTCTCCCGGTGTACTGTCCAATCACCACCAGAAGAACCCCACTGGAAATAAGTCTTCTTCTAGACTTTGTGGGCTATCCTTGGTGTTTACACCCAATAAATCCAATCCAATACCATGATCTTTACGCAACCTCATTCTGGTATTATTTTTTAAAGCTTTAAAACTCTTTTAGAACAATATTTCAAATCTACCCCAATGTGAGGTATGGCCCCCTTGTATCTCGTCTAGGACCTCGTACCATTTATCTCGGATCTTGGATCCCTCATCTCTGATGCCACCACATAGTGCATTTATAGGTATCTCCAAAGTAAAGATATTTGACGCCACCGGCAGCTACAGGCGGTGTATCCCTGATGGTGTTGTGTGATGCATCGGAGAAAGCATTTGGTGAGGATTGTTATGGATTCTGAGGGGTTATGTCAAAAGGTTTTTTAAAAACTGACAGGGAAGGCCAAATATTGTGCAGATATTATACCTGGAACTGTCAATATGGCTATATTTAGCATTTCATAATTTGGGTTTGATTTGTGCTAGTCTAAACCAACAATTACAGAAAAAAAAAAAAAAAAACGCTTGTTAATATCTTGAAGAAGCGGTTTGGCGTAGCGTGAAAGTTTACGTTTCCCAGCCTTGAGGTCGGGGTTTAACTCCCTCGCTGCGCATTTTGCTTGTGTCCTTGAGCAACGCACTTTATCTGCATTGCTTCTCTCCACCCAGGAGTATAAATGGGTACCTGGTGGGATTGCTTGCTCCTGCGCTGAATACAGCAGGAATACTTAAGCATGTGGATCCAATGACCAGAGACAGAAGCGCTTCGTATCTGCAAGGAAAGGCGCTATCTAATCTGCCTGTAGGTTTGGGTGCTTGCAAATTGGTGTCTTCACTATCGTCGAGTCTAGCCCTAGTACACTACTACACCTTTCCATAGGCGGAATTTAAGCTATCAGCAATTTTACCACAAAATGCGTAGAAGCTACTAAAAAAGAACTATTAAAGATTACTGATAAAACAGTGACTAAAAAAAATAAAAAACGATTAATATGAGATTGGTATGTAGGGACTGAGATCGTAGAGAATATGCCTATCTGCATCACCATAAATTGCAAATAATGCCCGATGCCCGTCAAACTGAGGAGTATTTCGCTCTTAACTAGTAATATTGAGTGAGCAACAATAGATTTGAAGAAGAATCCGAAGTTTTTCGATGTTTGAGCGCACACACAGTGGGATCTACCACCAGTTTAGCCGTAGCCCTGTTGCTTACTTAAAACTCTGCAATCAACGATAACAACTATTGTAATTTTTGTCTAGCTTCCATGTATACAGAAGGTGTGTTTAGCCAATAACCTATCTTAGTTTAAATGTTTTCTTTTACTATTGAACACATGTTCGATATTTCGTAAAATTTTTTTTGAATCTTCTTTCCGACGACAAAACAAAGCCCTCCACCTGTATGAATATTCGTTGGTTGCATTTGTGTCATTTTTTTATGGCTATGTTCTCACACGGCTGCTAACCGTTAGCTGCCGTGCGTCCATCCGAGAAAATCCCGATCCGGATACCAAAAATATGATGATCGAATCACTGGCCAATAAGAAACTGGAAATTGTAAACGCGTACGTGACATTGGTTGATGATAAAAACGTGCTCAACTTGCTAACCGATAGCGCTTGCTAACCGTTAGCGGTATCCGGATCGGTTAGCGCTAACCGATCGGGCGTTCTCACATAGGTGCTAACGGTTAGCGCTAACGGTTAGCTCCCAATCCGGATATTAGGGCTCTCGTGAGAACCAGGCTTTTTATGGCACTGGCAGACTGGACATGCTGATTTGTAAACACACAATTCGTATGAGGAGAGTACATGTATACGACGCCAACCAGATAATATATATTATAATTATGTTTATTTCCAAGCCTACGAGCATGGTGATGTAACGTTACGTCAGATAACGTTGGGGATTTGTAACATTCAATGCTCTAGCCCCCCGAACTCCAGGTTGACACTAATCAGGGCAGGGATTTAAATGGTTAATATTATCCTCAGTGCCGGTACAAAATTCGTTTAAAATTTAGAAATAAACTTAATGATTTTTTTTTTTTACTAAAACTTCGATAGCAATAAAAAAAGCCATTAATCTGCTAAATTAAGCCGGTTACTCACTGCGTGCGACGGCAACGCGACGAAGACCGACGAAGAACGCACGCGAAGACGAGAACCCAACGGATCGTCTTTTTAATGAGGATCCGTTCAGATTGCCACTGACAAGAGCAGACGGCGTTGCGTCGTCTATCGCTCGCCAGAAGCAGATTCGCAGTGAGTGTCCGGCTTAATTTCCGGCGTGTCAATCAAAACTTAACTGACCAATCAGAACAGGGCCAGAAACACGTTTTCAGTGCCATTCCTTTTGAAAATCAAAGCAGTCTGAGAAGCACTTCCTTTAATTTTGTTCGGCAGTCTATCTATAATTGCCGGAATTTTGGCGTTACTCCTTTCTGACACTAATGGTAAAGAGCTCCCAGAAACTCTGTGTGATTATAACAATTTCTTCGCATTGGAAGAGTATGAATTGTACTGTGTTAGTAGTCCTAACTTGGAAATAATACAATCACGGAAAAGTAAGTAAAACATAATTAGTAATGTATAGTAATAGTAAATATGATATCAATACGTTCATACACAATGCGTGTCCTAATTGCGTATTATTGACGTGTTACTGATTTTATAACATTTCAGTCTACAAATGACCATGTAGAAGTACCAAGCGGAAACAACTTGGCCTATTTTTGCCTTTGAACACATAATTTGACCAACCTACTGTATGATTGATAGTCCTGTGTTTTGAAGTGCCGTTAGTATGAAGAGAGTATCAAAGAAACGAAATATCCTGGTATGCTCTTGCTTTTTTGTGACTTACGGACTGACTGACTGACTCACTCACTCAAGAGAGTTTAATACCTATGGTAAATGCTATAGATCCAGTCATCGTTTCCTCCATGATTTTTGGTGTTTACCTGTCTTTTAGTTTTACTTTTTTCGTATAAAATATTCACATATACATACAGTAAATAGATCTACGCGATTAGCACGGAAGCACACACGTAAGACGGTTTCCAAGATTAGCCATATTTAAAAGAAAACAACCTTCTTAATACAAATTACACCACGGTTTTGTGGTATTTACTTGCATCGTAACATTCCATTTAGGTTTTTGAACTTAATACATGGGAATGAATTATTATTTAAAATATAAAAATATGCTATGATAAATATAATTTAGTAGTGTTAAATATAACTTGTAGGTAAATACAATGGTCTTGTTGAATATATAAAATTCATAACATCACTTACACCAGCACCCATCGTGAGATTTCATTAGTACACAAGTACACAATTAACAATGTGAAGAGTATAATAAAAACTACAAATACAAATATGTGATATTTACTTGCACCATAACATTCTGTCTCAGTTTTGTCCCAATACACAACAATTATTATAGATTATTGATAATATTGATATATAAAATAAAAATATACTATTATAAATATACTATTGTGAAATATAACTTGATATAGTAAATACAATGGTCTTCTTGTTTATATAAAATTAATAACATCGCTTACAGCAGCACCCATCGTTAGATTTCATTAGTATACAATGCACAATGTGAAAAATATAGTTAAAACTACAAGTACAAATAGGCCTATGTGATACAGTATTTACTTGCACCGTAACATTCCATTTCAGTTTTGTCCCTAATACACAAGAAGTATAATAATTTATTAATAATAATATTGAAATATAAAATAAAAATATACTATGACCTTGTTGAATATATAAAATTAATAACATCGCTTAAACCAGCACCCATCTTGAGATTTCTCCAAATACGCTGTACGTATTACAGCATGTCTTTGAGCTGTGTTTTCAGTGCAATCGTTGAAATGCGTAGCAGTCTACAGTAGCAATCGGAAAGGCTCCCAGATTGGGCCGCAGTGGCGTATCTACGGGGGAGCCGCACGTCCCCCAAAAAAATTACTCGCCCCCGCCCCGAAAAAAAAAAAATTACGGTCAAGTAGTTAAAAATCACCTAAAACCATCTTATTTTGCGAAATAGCACCCCTCAACTGATCATCGAGCCTCCTCCCACCCATCTGCACCCCCCCAATTCAAGACTTCAAGATACGCCACTGTTGGACCGACCAAACAGCATCACCGAAAGCTGTCAGCGGTAGCGTGTAGCAATTGTATAGAAACCAAACTTTACTTAACATGTTGAAAATCTATCCTGTCCAGCAAAGAAACATGGCCTATATGAGTCTTTTTAAAATATGTAAATATAAAAGCGTCGGCCTACAATTGCAGCTAACTGTAAAATGCTGAAATGACAAGTTTATTGCAAAACGTTCTTTTTAAAGCCTGGTTCCTTAAAAAATCGCTGCACAATTGCTATATAGTTTTCACTGCAATCCTTGCACTGCGTGGCTGTCCCCGACGACCCAAACGAAAAATCTCCCTGATTTAACTGACCAATCAGCGTAAGTTTAACGAACTATAGCAATTGTTGAGATTTGACTGCTGATTTGACTGCTGTATATTTCTGTCCTTGGGGAAACCACTTAAAGTAGCTATGCAGTGCTTAATAGTGTTCTTGTCTCGTTAAATATATGGTAAATAATCTATTTTGATTTTACTAATAAAACTAATAAACATCAACTATTATATACCTTATTACACTTCATGGAGAGTATAAACAAATTCTCGATAAATTAAATACAAATTTCTTATTAAGTATTAATAAAGCTTAACAGGGTTTTAACCATACTAGGCTGTAAGAACACATGTTGTTATTCTATTAGCGTTTTTTTTTCCAGTCGTTTCTTTCTAGTCATGTCCATTGATATTATTGTTTTGCCTAGCTAGGTAATTACTATGAAAAATTAGTATTAATCAGAAAGTAGTAAAAAGTACACTCCAAAGACTTTTTATCAAACGGCGTCTTTCTCTTCTTCGTCTGCGTTACAATTATTTTCTTGTCCATTGATTATATTATTGTTTTGCCTTGCTAGATAATCACTGTGGCAAATTAGTATTAGTCAGTCACGTACCGGTAGTTAGTAAAACCTTTAAAGTAGTAAAACGTACACTCCGAAGACTTTCATCAAACGGCGTCGTTCTCTTCTTCGTCTGCGTTACAATTATTTTCCAGGTTCTGTGCTTTTCCATTGGTTTTTTTCAATTGTTTGTATTTCCTATACAAAAAAAAAAAACAAAAAACAAAAAACAAAAACATAATGGTTGTGAGATTTCTTCATTATTATTAATAAGATTGTATTTATTTTTATTCATATTACATAAATCGTAGAGAAGCAACTATTCGTTAGCAGCAGCTACTGCCACGCCACTATTACTTACTACTGCTGATGCTGCTGCTACTGCTATTACTACTGCTACTGCCACCGCCACTACCACTACCACTGCCACCACCACTACTACTACTACTACTACTACTACTAATACCACCACCACTACCACTACTACAACCACTACCACTACTACCATAACCTTCCATTTCAGAAAGTAATTTCAGACGAGGGCGGAATTGGTACGTATAAAGGTTAAATTGTTTCTACGCAGAGTGAACATATGTACCAGTGTGTGGGCAGTGTGGACACACTGAGAACTGCAGTGCGAATATTATTACACACTTGTGGCACCGTTTTCACAGTGCCTGCAGTCAACACACTGCTACTATGGGTTCATTCTAGGTACACATAATGTACCCTCACCAAGTCCGCATTAAAAAAAAAAAATCTTTCACTTTAAGAAAACTCTGTAACATTTTTCTAAAGGATCTTTACAACCTCATTTTCACTATTCATACGTCATCATGATCTTCATCTTTATCATCATCGTCATCATGTTTTTTTTATTATGTTATTATATATAACTTTATGTTATCTACTGTTACTAAGTTACTGATTGATGTGTAATAATACGAAACACCGTTGAATGTTGTAAAAGCAATGTTTCAAATAACCTCGTTAAGGGAAAGGTAAAAGTCGAAACTGAAGCTCTTGGCGCACAGGCCGGAGTGCCCGTCTCTCTTTCGTTGGCGTTTGGGCCAGACAGTGCAAGGCTGTTTGGGGTTCCCACTTCTCCTGCACTGCATGCAATCTATTTTACCTTCCCAGCATATGCCGGTACCCATTTATACTTCTGGGTTGAGAGAGACAAGCGTATATAAAGTTTCTTGCACATCGAGGGTTAAAAAAACCTATGAAATGTTAACAGGCTATGTCACTTACTTTCCAAAGTTTTCTCCCTCCTCAAGTGTTTCTGGAAGGCTTGTACCCATTGTTTCTGGCAGCAATAAACCAAGAAGCCCCGCTGTAACTGATAGACCACTGAATAGTACTAGAGCAAAAGGCTCCCATATATCTGATACGACAAGAGCTAAAGGAGAGATGACGCTGCCAAGACGGCCTGACATCGATGCCAGGCCCATACCAGCACTCCTAAAAATAATGGAATGGGTTTAATTTAATGCAATTTATTCATTCCACTCACATGAAATACAATACGTAACATGAGTGCAGAATATTTTAAAAAAGCAAAGACCCTTTTAAGCAAGAAAAAAATAGATTTATCTACAATGTTGTTAACCTTTACTGAAGCAACGTTTTTCAGATGACGTTTTACTATTGGTAATAGTGAGGGCATGTTTTATGGTAGATGGAAGGGAATTCTACTTCACATGGCCAGAGTAGAATATAGTAGATTTTCTAAGAGCAGTAAGAGCAACAGGTGGATGAACAATTATTTGATTGCCTGGTAGAGTGGATTTGGTTATTAAAAAAGGAAGAAAAAATGAAAAAAAAAACACATTTAAGGTTGCATTTGGTGGCATATCTATGATATATATGAAACATAACAATCAGAGAAAAAAAAAACTTCAACAATTGAAAAATGTCTTGTAATCTAAGATTTTTAAACAATGGAGCAGTAAATGTGCACGAAATTCAGCGTTACAGATTCTCGGATTGCTTGCTTCTTAAATATATACTGTTTTGCTGGTACTGTACACAGTTACTCGATGCAACAATGCCGTAGCTGAGGTATGGTAAAATTAGACTACAATACTGTAAAACCTCGAATTGAAGTCCTGGTCTTCTTTTTTGCGAACTTTGGATGCAACAATGCCGTAGCTGAGGTATGGTAAAATTAGACTACAGTACTGTAAAACATCGAATTGGAGCCCTGGTATTCTTTTTTTGCAAACTTTTGATGGGCTTCTTTTCGAGATGTTCTTCGTTTCGAAATGGGAGATGGGCTTCTTTTCGAGACTACTTTTGCAAAGCAAAGAAGGGGGCCTCTTTTAAAGATTAATGCTGTAATTATTTAGAATTTTTACTATAAAACAATAAATAAGGCCACTGTAATATCAATATGTATTATGGAGTGGAATTAAATCACCTAAACTACTCTATAAACCAAGCTTGTATTTAATTTATTTTGTTTTCTGAAATTCGTATACAGCAGTCTATGTTCTGTACTATCTCGTAAAGAAGCCTATGCTATCTTGAAATTTTTAACAAATTTAACGATAACTTATTATCATTATCCAGACGGTTAAAAAGTCAAGGAGATACTGTTCAAGAACAATTAAATTAATTTACATAGTGATATCAGTGAGTACATGTTGCTCAAATGTCTTTGCATAAAACGTGCGGGCCTATCATGATCCCAATTGAATAATAATATTTTCAATTATCATCATTATCCTTATCCTCATCATTTTAATTATTATCATTATCATTATTGTTATCAATTATCCCCTCCCCGCCAAGTAGTAGCGGCGCCAGCGGGGGGCAGCAGGGGCTTAAGCCCCCACACCGGACAGGTCAAGCCCCCATTAGTCAGAGCTCGTCGGGCAGTCGGACTAAAAAAATATATATAAATAGGGATACGCCAAGCCATCACATGTCTGTCACAATAGAGAGTGTCATTTCTGTTTTGTTTTCTGGTTCCTATTCTTTAAAAAATCTCATTTGGGAGGGGGAAGACCCTCTCAAACACAGCCCCCAGCTCGGGACTACGAGCCCAAGTCCCCCTGCCGGACATTTCAGCCCCCCTCCAGAAAGTTTATCCTAGAGCCGCCACTGCCGCCAAGGAGGTTACATATTCACTGCTGTCTGTCTTTCTTTCCTTTTTATAACGTATTACCAGAAATACATTTCAGTAGCATAATGGTATTAAAGAGCTTTTCTTTCTGTCTTTTAGCAAGATTATGCAAAAACTAATGAATGGATCATCATAAACTTGAGTGGAATGGTACATAATAATCGAAGAAAGAAACAATTAAATTTTCGGAAGGGTAAGAAAATATTATGCCTGTACACGACGGGTGATTCCATTATTTACTTAAGGGTATGTTGTTTCGCCTATCATACTGTATTCAGGTACAGGGCGAAGGTATGCACTCCATGGAGTTACTGCTCGAATTATTTTTACATTTCAAAAAACAAAATACCTGATGTTTGAATAAAATAAAATGGATACCTGACTGGAGTTGGAAAGAGTTCAGCTGAGTAAACGTAAACAATCCCAAAGGCGGCAGTAATTGAAAATTTACCAGCCATAGCAACAGAAACACGGTATACTCCAGGATCTGCAAACAAAACCACATCATACACACAGTGTTACTAGAAGTCCACATAAGCTAACATAAATGTTTTGTATTAAAACTAAATTCAATTACCGTACTCGCGCGAATAAGCGCTCCGCTTGAATATAATAATAATATCATGAGATTTTTTTTAGCACGTCAATAATCCAATCAATCCTGGGATTGTGGATGTTGGCATGATTTGAGCTGCGGAGTGGAATCACATTCTCCTGGCCTAGATCAACAAATTACTGTTCTCCCAGAATTGAATTTTATAAGTTCTCTTAAGAACCTCTCGATTTTCATCTATTTCCATAAGCGCCCCCTCAATTTCCACACTTTTATAAACGCCCCTTTGAATAAGCGCCCCCCCAAAAGTGCAAAAAAAAAAAATGTTATGCGCCCAGGCGCTTACTCGCGCGATTACGGTATATATCATAAAAAATTGTATTTGCCAATATATTGTTACATTTTTAATCAAAAATAATGATTTGGAACAATGAAATTACACAAACTAAAACTTATATAATCTAGAAATTATGTTTCAATCTGTATCTCATTTAAAAGCGTAAAACCTTATAATGAACAATTCAATATTTCTATTACAGTTTTATGAGTTTTCTAGAATTTACTACATACACATATAGGTTTAGGGTATGTGATATCACTAAAGACTAATACTTACAATTTTTGCTATTTAGATTTGAAACGTAAATAATTTATAATTATGATTTACAAGAATAAAAATATTAACGTACTAATGAAAACTGTTAAGAAACAACATGCGCCCCCAAACAAAATCACAAAACACAGCATAATTCGACGTCCAAAGCGGTCCATAGCAAATATACTAAAAATGCGAGCAGGAATTTCAACGAGGCCGTTCAGCATAAAAGCAACGTAAGGATCAATCCCGAGATCAGCTGTGCTCAGCGAAAGTCCATAGAACACCATGACAACTACAAACCTGTCGAAAGTATTATGTATTGAATAAGTTCATTCAGTGATATAACTTTTATTCAAAAATTGTAGAAATTGTACAATCTTTGTTTAAATCCTGCTTGTACTGTATAATTTTTGTTACTACTTTAAACAAAATTTTACTTTCTAGAATAAATTAAAGCAGGCTTTAGTGATATTTGTCTGACTAAACACTACAGCCATAGAGAAACGTGTATTTATACGGCAACGTCGGCTGGAGGGGCTTCCCCCCCCCCCCCAACCATTTTTGTGAGTGTTGCCGGCACCAGTGATTTTACTAACTCCTTATACTATTTATTTTTTCATTTTCAAACGAACACTAAAAGTTCCCTTTTTGAGTTGAGCAACAATATGTTGACTGAAGTCTGTATAGGCGCGTTTGGTTTTTTTTTAAAACTTACCCTCGAGGATGTACAAAAAAGAATGGAATCGCCGGCATTGCGTGAATTCTGTATTTAGGCAAGGTCCAGGTAGACACATTGTATGGAGTGACGCTCTAGTTTTCTTTATGTTAAGATGTAAGTGTGACTGATTGGCTTACAGTAAACTTTCAAACTACGGTAATATAATCACATTTAAATTTCATCTCTTTACCAAAAACAATAAGGTACTTAATTAGGCCATTTATTAACATAAAGTCCTCTGAATGTTTAGATACATAATTTACAGTACATTGTAGTTGTAATGACTGTATTGAATAAAAAAGTCGAATAAAAAAAATATTTTGCTTAATTGACATTAGGAATTAGTCATTTGTGAAACAAAATGATAGGCTATATCAAAACAGTGGCGGATTCAAGAGGGAGCCCATTCAGGCCGGACCCCCAACTTCCTATTTTTTTTGCAAAATTATAAAAAAATGGATTTCCGGCCATAATCGTATTTGTTCATACCTCAGCCCCACAACAGTTGGGTGGCGCCACAGTTGGAGTATCATTTCCAGGCTACATAGAAGGGTAATTTTTATCAATCGGGGGAAAGGTGAGATTTAAAGTCTTAAATTGCAATTTCGGGCCATCTATAGGTGCCATGATCAACAAGTTTTCTTACCTCAGCCCCAACCATGGTGAGACTGAGGTGGTATAGATCTTCCATTTGTGTAAGTACCTCCCCGGGGCCCCTCTATTTTGAATTCCAGCGGATCCATCACTGGTACCTTCTAAGGCCACCTATATTTTGAATAGGAATAGAAAAAAACATTATGAAGTCATATTACAGTAGCTTGATGCCTATAAAATAACTAATAAAATTTAGCAGACTTCGCCAAAATATCCGTAGCTTCCCCTGGCCCCGCTTAGATGGTTAAATAGCAGTATTTTACTTACCAGTTATACATAACGTTGATGGTCTTTTTACGCAAATTTGGAGTACGAAATAAATCAATAGCTGTATACTTCCGCTGATCCTCATATTTCTCATCCTATATTAAACAAAAAGCATAAATGTTGCAGTTTTCAATCAATTCGTCAAATGGTCATGGTCTTCCATTTATGTAGCGCATACTACAATACTTGAATCTATGTGCTTTAAAATCTATTGTCATGACAAAATAAGAAAGAAAACAACAAGAAGAAATAAGAAAAAAACAGATTAGAATTGTGAGAAAATATGCGATTTAATCAGAAATTTAAAAAAACTTTGGTGCAGCAACAGAGAAGGATCTATCACCATAGGTTTTCAACCGACCAGAAGGACAATAAAGAGTGGTTGAACTAGATGATGTGGACCTAAATGTGCGACTGTATGTAGTTGATCGCAAATATGTTTATTCATACAAACTTTACACACACATACATATTTATATAAATATATTCATGTTATTATAACATTATCATCATCTTTATCATGACTTTATAATCATTATCATCATCTTCATCGCCATCATCAACTCTGAACATCATCATCCCCACCAACAATATCATCATTATCATCATCCTCATCCCAATTTTCATCATCACCATCAACATCATTATGTTATAGTGTTATGTTAAAATGTTAAGTTATATGTATATTTTTGCCTATATACATATATATTGAAAAGGAATTTCACTTTTCAAATAAGACACTGTATGCCTACATCTTCCTTATCTTCAAATAGGTGCTGAGGTATAGTGGCTTTGTTAACATATGCAGCTCTGCGTAATATAGTTTCAGCTTTAGAATATTCTCCCTGTGAAAGCAGCCATCTTGCAGACTCTGGCAGAAACCTGTATATCAAAATCAAAGAGAGATATTACTTGTAAGGAACATGCTTTGTGTTTTGTATTCATTGGTATTGAAATACAGTCATCATACATTACTGTGTTTCAATTGATAATGTAATAAACGATATTAAAACAAATGATAATGTTAGCAACACTAACAGCAACCTTAATAACAATGGGAGAGCAGTCTCCTCAGCACTGAAAAGACCCCCAGTCTTGAAAAACAATAACAAATAATAAAAATAGCAATAATAATTTTGAAAAATAACAATGAACATGATGATGATGTTTTTTTCTAAAAAAATATTCTACGTTTTCGAGCAAACTAGAGTTTCTTACTATACTGTATAGTTTTGTTGAATTTATTTTAGTATTATAATAATGATGATAATGACGACGATGACGATGATGGTCGTGAAGGTCATGTTGGTCAAGATGTTAATAGTAATAAATGATAATTAATGTATTTAATAGTTACGGCATATAAAGAGCTGCTATTGCAATTGGAACAGAAAGAGCTATTTGCAGCTTCCTCCAGTCACGTATGAGGTAGGCAAAAAGCGCCAACAGCATGGTACCAGACGCCCAGTATATTGGTAACACATTTCCCGCCACAGTTCTCCACTTCTTTCCAACAAGTTCGGCCACTATAATGATAATAATGCTAGTAATGATATGATACAAATATCACCCATACAACAACTACTAATGTTAATACCACTGGTTAATGTTTCTACTACGGCATATAAGTAAAACAATTAATCCTTCATCCTTTTAATCATTGTCAAACAATTTCTATTCACACAGCAGCAGTTGATTCTAGTTGAAGTAAATTTGCATGTCAGAGGAATAAATTGAAAAAAAAAACAGAAGATGAATATAGGCCTAGAAAATTGATATAAGATGACTACTCGCCTGAAAACTCTTGTAAACGAGGATGGTTTAGTGAGATCTTAGGCAATTAGTACAATTTTGTTGTGAAGGCTTGCAGTTTTAATTGCAAGTAACTTCACTTGGCAACGTAGTTTGAACAAAATTGAATGCCTTAACTAGATTGAAAAAATACAGTTTTGAGCTCTATTTTACTCAATTTGTTTCTGCAGTTGCGTAGAGTAAATATCACGTCGGTTGTGGAGGCCAGGGTATTACAAAAGTTTGCTGTGGTGGATCATGATCATACGGTTTAGAATTACTTAAAACATTTGTTATGACTCTCTCTGGTGAGGCTTAAATGGTATTGCAATATCGGAGTTCCATCGAGTCGTTTACTTCCAAAATAATAAATTCCACATTTTATGCAAGTAATAGGCAAGGAATGGATTGACTAACAACAGTTTTAAAAGAAACTACTAGAAAAATCATTATTTCGTAAAAGCCATCTCTCTACTGAGAGACACAATTAGATTAGTAATTTGACTATTAAAAAATATTAAAATGTTACTAATTTTAAATCATATTTAGCATTGCGTAATTTTATTTAAACTGATGTAATATAAATGTCACTTCACAGGACCCCAATGAAAATTGCTATTGTTTTTGTATGTTTATATGTAATACTTTCTTTTTTAAATCTTTATATATGCTTTTTTACTGTAATATTTTGGCCGAATGAATGAATGTATGAATGAGGCGAATCTTGCGGATCAACCGCAAGCCGACTCGAGCGGATCGACCATGTCATATCCAATGGCGGATCGTAGGGCAATTTGCAGGCTATGCTAGTATTGACATATTTAAGATGTACAAAGGGCCCCTACCACTGAAAAAAATACTCGCCCCGCCCCCACCAACAAATCATGCTCAAGTAATTAAAAATCACCTCATATCACCTTATTTTGTGAGTTATCTCCTCATAATCACCGACCCACTGACCCCCACTTTACCTTCCTAACATCATAAGCCACTGATGCTAGGGCTTGTTAGTGATAGGAAAAGTTCATAAGCCTACTACAATACAGAATCTGATTGCGTTATAGTCAACATACAATGCATGTTATTTTTAATACCGGCATTATTATTTCTAAAAGAAATAATAATAATAATAATAATAATAGTAATAATAATAATAATAATAATAATAAAAATAATAATAATAATAATAATAATAATAATAATAATAATAATAAAAATAAAAATAATAATAAAAATAATAATAATAATAATAATAATAATAATAATAATAATAATAATAATAATAATAATAATAATAATAATTCTTCTATACCGGTCATATGTATGTGTATATATAGGCTTATATAGGCTTATAGACAGAATACCTGATCGGCAGTGGAGAAGGGCATGCGCACATACTCTTGGAAGCACTGCTTCCATTCCAGTGTTAAACTGGCTATTCTGACGCCACCACACGGTTGTCACAATAGCAAATTTAAGCGTTGTAGCTTTGTATGCTCTGACTTTTACTTCCATTGACTCACTGTATAAGTGATTGTCTGATATTGATGACCAGCCATGAATTTCTAAGCACGATGCGCTAGACTGTGACTTATCCTAGGTAACAAAGTAGGCCAAACATTGAAAAACTTTGCTATTCCAGTGAATAGCATTCCACTCGAAAAATTAGGGTGTATATAGAAGATCCTGACTAAAAAAATGCTAAATAAAACGGAGAAACTGTACTATTATATATTTTTTTATTTGTTTTATCAAGGGCGCACTGCAGTTCTTGCTTGTCTTGACGGACTGCCACTGGTCATATCAATTCGTTGGCAAAACTTAAGTAACGCACAGAGATTTCCGGTTATATTCACCATTGTAGTCCAAAAATAGATGACTTTTGGTGGATTTTTAGCAATATCTTTTGAACAAAAAATTGGATCAATTTGTCTAAAACGATTTATTGTTGCTGAATCAATACTCTTACTAATGTACCGGTACTTTAAATCATATTTTTAAAGTACATTTAAGTTCCGTCACTTTTAGGTTAAAAATTGCTTGGTTTGTTGTATTTGACGTGTAAAAACCTAGGATGTGACAAAAACAAGGCCACTTTGGCGTGGTAAATAATTATTATAGTACAAGAACCATTTAACCGATTCACTTACTGAAACGGAAAAACCAACTACAGATTTTGACCTTTCTTTGTAAGTAACTTTATTTCTTCTCTTTTATAACAGAGGAACAATCGTTAAGAGGTATCAGCCCCATTTATCTGGAATAGCCTTCCCCAACCGTGAAGCTTACTTTTGCTCTTTTCAACACGGCTGAAGACACACCTTTTTTTCTTCTGCCTTCTGTCCATAATCATATTCACATACTCTCGACCTAACTGAAATCGAATACTTTTTGGTGTTGTAAAGCACATAGAGAAGTTTGATATGCGCTATATAAATAATAATAATAATAATAATAATAATAATAATAATAATAATAATAATAATAACCGTAAAATATGTGCAACAATAACAAAATCAGTATAAACTTAATTGCTACTGTGATTGAATATAGAAACAAAATAGTCAGTAGAACGAAATATATATATAAGTGGGTTTACAAAAAAAAAAAAAAAAAAAAAAAAGAAAGAAAAAAATTGGATCAATTTGTCTAAAACGATTTATTGTTGCTGAATCAATACTCTTACTAATGTACCGGTACTTTAAATCATATTTTTAAAGTACATTTAAGTTCCGTCACTTTTAGGTTAAAAATTGCTTGGTTTGTTGTATTTGACGTGTAAAAACCTAGGATGTGACAAAATCAAGGCCACTTTGGCGTGGTCAATTATTCATATAGGACAAGAACCATTTAACCGATTCATTTACTGAAACGGAAAAACCAACTACAGATTTTGACCTTTCTTTGTAAGTAACTTTATTTCTTCTCTTTTATAACAGAGGAACAATCGTTAAGAGGTATCAGCCCCATTTATCTGGAATAGCCTTCCCCAACCGTGAAGCTTACTTTTGCTCTTTTCAACACGGCTGAAGACGCACCTTTTTTTCTTCTGCCTTCTGTCCATAATCATATTCACATACTCTCGACCTAACTGAAATCGATTACTTTTTGGTGTTGTAAAGCACATAGAGAAGTTTGATATGCGCTATATAAATAATAATAATAATAATAACCGTAAAATATGTGCAACGATAACAAAATCAGTATAAACTTAATTGCTACTGTGATTGAATATAGAAACAAAATAGTCAGTAGAACGAAATATATATGTAAGTGGGTTTACAAAAAAAAAAAAAAAAAAAAAAAAAGAAAGAAAGAAAAAAACACCTTTACAAAAATAGTAATAGTAATAATAATAATTCCCAAAATATATGTAAATCCTTTTTGTATAACTCCTCTTTAATTTGGTCAAATATTACATTTCTATTATTTGTTATTTAATCTGTATCTGTATGACTTACTGTACAGAACCTCACATCTGAGTATATTAGTGCAGGCGCAGAGTGTTTACCAAGACATTGGGGACCATCCATAAATTTCTCCCAGTTGATCTGGTACAATCGAATACAAACTGATTGCTGATTGATAGTTTCCTTTGTCGCACGGTCGTAATAAGCATAAGCCTAAATTTTGATGTGACCAAGATTTCTTTCTTCTTTCAAGAGGTAATGAGTTCGAACGATCTTTAAAATTTAAGCCTTATGCATGGAAGTTACACTTTTCTAATAAATACTTTTCCATTTTAGGTTCACTTTTGTATCTTAGGTAATGTTTTAATGATGATTTAAAGCATTATTATACCAACTTATGTTATCTTTTTAAATATTTTTTTCTTTGAAGCCATTAATCTATATTGTACAATATTTAATGTTAAGCCATATTTTGTAGATCGAATTTATTTAAAATGAATTCAATATGTTGAAGCCATTTCTAACTCAGTTTTTCTTTAAGCATAAAGAGAGCCGTAAATAATAATCTTTGCCAACGGTGTTCCTTATTTTTTAGTCTATTTAAGTGTAAGTTAATAATCTTTCTTATTGAATAGTAGATTAAATTGTTTGCCAGCCAAGTTCACCATATAGTGCTTCTTTTCGACATATCTGGGTGCTGTGTACAAGTATCTGGTCATTTGGAATCAGTGAGGCGTGTCATTCGCCCCGTCTAGGTCGTTGAAAGGAGTGCACTGAACACGTAGGTTTGATCGTTTTAATACATAGTAAATTGCTAACAATATATCACTTTGAAATATATTATGTCTAGATTATCGTCATCTATTTTGTATGTAATTCTAAAGTAGATGAAAATAGCAATAACGATGTTAACATTACTTAATTCCAGCGAATACAAGCAGTACGTTTATGCTGCTTGCTTTAATGTTCATATTTCACTACAATGTCATTGGTTTGGTACTCTACACGTAAGCTAGAGAAGATTCCATTAAGAAGACTTGGTTCTACCACGGAGGAATAAAATAGAATTCCTCCATGGTCTACCAACCAAACTATGGGCGAGGAGCAGCTGGAACAAGCGCTGAAGTTAAGACTTAATTAAAAGCTGTAGTTAGCGGTGCTCCATTCGGACTTTCGACTCACTGCACTACTGCTACCGCTACTAGTTACTATAATAGTAATTATGTAAGTAATGTTAATAGTATTAACTTCATAATAAAAGCGTATAATGGTATGATTATGGTGATATATGATAAATAATTATGAGGTATCATTAACATGGTGCAACATATTATTATAACATAGCACAACATAACATACCATAACGTTATAGAATAATAATAATTACAGAATACATTTATAGTAATGTTATAATACAACAGGTCTACAAAAAATAGAATCATATTTCAAAATTGAGCTGAATGTAGAAGAGTATAATTTAAAAAAAATGCTATACGTTATAATTCAAACGCATGATGAAATTGGCAAACTTACCGAAGACGAATGATATCAAATATATACCCATGGTTGCCATGGCGATAAAGAATCTTAAGCAGACATAAGCCGCGAATGATTGCACGAAGGATGCTGTCACCCCTAGAGACGATTGTAGTATACAACAGATGATCAGTGTTGGTTTGCGTCCGATCCTACAAATAGTCATTTCAATTTATAATAGACTTAACTTTATCATAAATCATTGAAAAAATACATATATTTAAGTTAACATTTGTTATAATATAACTTCGTGTATAGGTGAGAACACGCCATAATACAGTTTTGAAATATATTATGTCATGTTCTTCACAGTGGCGTTCCCATGCGGCGGTCCGCAGGGCCCCCGAATTCTAGGGGCCCCGAAGGAGCCCTACCCATTAGGTTCCTTTATTGAACACCCTGACCAAAAAGGACTTTGTTGATAAATAAAACCATGAAATCGACTGTAGGGCATATATCATAATATAATGATTTAAGAGTAGCCCCACAAAATTTGTCTCAAAAAAAAAAAAAAAAAACTAAAAATGGAGATTAAAAGAAAATTATTTTCACAAGTTGAAGTCTGTGAGTGCAGTTTAGACGTGCCATAGTAATACATATTCTTATCTCAGTCCTACAAGGGCAACGGCATAATGTGTGTCTGAAATTGACTGTACTATGACATATCACATCCAGTGGCGGAATAAAGAATGTGGGGAGGGGAAGCAACTGCCCACCAGGCCCCACTAAGTTCGTCAAAATATTTTATCTGGAGATAAAAAGAAAATTCATATTTTTTCTGTGATCTGCCATTTACGGCTATCTAAATGTACCATATTTATAAATTGTCTTACCTCCGCCCCAATTATGGTGGGTCTGAAGTGGTATAGACTCTCCAACAGTGAAAGGCCCAACCTGGCCTCAATTTTCTGGATGCATATTATATCATTTATCTGTCTCTTATACACATCTAGATGTGTATAAGAGACAGGGCTTATATAGGCTTATAGACATTGATGACTAGAACTCCATTCCTTCTGATATGGTATGTTGAACAGTTCTAAAGCAGGTTTAGAGAAAATTTTACCACCAAGTTTAGCAAGTAATATGGAGAAGAGCCCGCGCTAAGGGGCAATTGAGCATAGTATTTTCAACGAAAATTTTGTCAATTTTTTAAAATACTGTAGGCCTATTACGAAAATTATCCCATGGATTTTTGTGATAGATTAACCCTGTCTCTTATACACATCTAGATGTGTATAAGAGACAGACGCTAGACAGTGCGACATTGTCTGCTGATTGTCGGTGGCTGACTGGATCGTCATTAAAAATGATTCGTTGAGTGAGTGCGTCGGGCTTTATGTTTTCTATAGAATGATGTCGGAAAACGATCGTCGGGCACAGTGACTGCCCGGCTTACGGACCATATGCTATTTGTTAATTGTACGTAAACGGATAACTCACTTATCTGCAACAGATCCAAAGAATAACGATCCAACTAGAAGTCCACCAAAATAGATTGATTGAGCAAGTGCGGCACCTGTCTCTTATACACATCTAGATGTGTATAAGAGACAGCCCCTAGAGACGATTGTAGTATACAACAGATGATCAGTGTTGGTTTGCGTCCGATCCTACAAATATTCATTTCAATTTATAATAGACTTAACTTTATCATAAATCATTGAAAAAATACATATATTTAAGTTAACATTTGTTATAATATAACTTCGTGTATAGGTGAGAACACGCCATAATACAGTTTTGAAATAAATTATGTCATGTTCTTCACAGTGGCGTTCCCATGCGGCTGTCCTCAGGGCCCCCGAATTCTAGGGGCCCCGAAGGGGCCCTACCCATTAGGTTCCTTTATTGAACACCCTGACCAAAAAGGACTTTGTGTTGATAAATAAAACCATGAAATCGACTGTAGGGCATATATCATAATATAATGATATGATTTAAGAGTAGCCCCACAAAATTTGTCAAAAAAAAAAAAAAAAACTAAAAATGGAGATAAAAAGAAAATTATATTCACAATTTGAAGTCTGTGAGTGCAGTTTAGACGTGCCATAGTAATACATATTCTTATCTCAGTCCTACAAGGGCAACGGCATAATGTGTGTCTGAAATTGACTGTACTATGACATATCATATCCAGTGGCGGAATAAAGAATGTCAGGAGGGGAAGCAACTGCCCGCTAGGCCCCACTAAGTTCGTCAAAATATGTTTTAACTGGAGATAAAAAGAAAATTCATATTTTTTCTGTGATCTGCCATTTACGGCTATCTAAATGTACCATATTTATAAATTGTCTTACCTCCGCCCCAATTATGGTGGGTCTGAAGTGGTATAGACTCTCCAACTGTGAAAGTCCCAACCTGGCCTCAATTTTCTGGATGCATATTATATCATTTATTCGTCGGTAAAGAAATTAAAATAACAATGCACATCTAAAATCCCACGACGGAATGGGTGAATGGGACCCAAAAAGGGCCCCTAGTTTCAGAAATACACAGGGCACCCGGCCCCATCGTTACGCCATTGGTTCTTCAAATCATTGTTAATGATTGGGATTGGAAGTTTTTGTTTTTTTTTTTTTTTTTTGTAGAGAAAAATCATTAAGTTGACAAAGGATGGACAGAACCATTGAAATAATGCTATGTTACGGAGTGGGTGTTGTATGCTATGTTACGGAGTGGGTGTTGTATGCTATGTTACGGAGTGGGTGTTTTATGCTATGTTACGGAGTGGGTGTTGTATGCTATGTTACGGAGTGGGTGTTGTATGCTATGTTACGGAGTGGGTGTTGTATTAGTGCTGACTTTGCCAGGAATTCAACTAAATTAAAGCTGACCACTCAATGCGCCCCGACGGTCGTCGGCCGACGAGATTTTCTTAAGGAACGCAACGCAACGACGTGCGCGCAACCGATTGTTTTTGTTAATGTTCAGACGGGCAACGATAATCAGCAGACAGCGTTGTGTAGCCTAGTGATCACAATAAGCGGAGTCGAGTTCGTCATACGACACAGTATGAAAAAGCATGGACTTAAATAGAAATTATTAAAACAGAGTCACAGATACTCTTCTTACAAGCTTCATAGTCGTCCCATGTTTTTTTTTTTTTTTTTTTTTTTTTTTATATATATTGCATAAACAGATTGTTAGAATAAAACCCCGTGCGCTCACTCCGTCGTTTCAACGCTAGACAGTGCGACATTGTCTGCTGATTGTCGGTGGCTGACTGGATCGTCATTAAAAATGATTCGTTGAGTGAGTGCGTCGGGCTTTATGTTTTCTATAGAATGATGTCGGAAAACGATCGTCGGGCACAGTGACTGCCCGGCTTACGGACCATATGCTATTTGTTAATTGTACGTAAACGGATAACTCACTTATCTGCAACAGATCCAAAGAATAACGATCCAACTAGAAGTCCACCAAAATAGATTGATTGAGCAAGTGCGGCACTGGCTTTGCGACTGCATACTAAGCTAAACTGGAGCCAATAACATAAAGCAATTATTAGTATAAATTAAAATAGATTTTAGAAAATGATGACGACGATGATGATGATGGTGATGATGATGATGAGGATGATGATGATGCCCGAGGTAGGGTCTTAACGCCCTGACAAGCTGTCGGATTGGCTAAACGATGGAAACCACCAGAGACATTAGGGACGGAGTGCAGGTGGTTTCATGTTGTGGTAGATAAACTGATTGGTTTCTATGTAATTATTATTGGGTCTGTATAGGAAAACAACCAGTTCTGCAGGTAGCGATGGATAGCGTTGTACAAATAGTTCAATGAAACTTCAAAAACGCCCTAGTCAATATTTTAATTGCTTTAGAAATAGGTTTTCATTTTTTTCTTCAAAAGTACAAAAAAGGACACATTAAAACACAAAGACAAAGGACAATGTTTGATATGTTTGCTATGCAGTCGTAGATTCAAGCATGAAATTAAAGTTTCACCTGCTACTTACTTGGACTCGAATTCATCTCATGCCATCAGGAGCAAGCTCGGTGGTCTAGCGGTGTGATGCCAGGCTAGTGATCTGAAAATCCTGGGTTCGAATCCCACCCGAGGAGAACTTGGGTTTTTTTTTTTGGTAATTGTTTTCACACGTACTGAGTATTCAGTACATTTTTCACGTCAGGTAGGGCAAAATCACACCTATACTTGATTCTCCTGAAGCAAATCCAGTTAATTTCTATTCCATCACAATAATTACTATCATACAATACGCCTACATATGTTTTGCTTATGAAATGTATTTTATGGTTTTGGCCAAGAAACCTCTCGATACAAAAAAAAAACAAACAAAAGAACTTGAACAATATCAAAGAAAATCTATTACAGTATATACTGAGTTCCGTTTTTAGTGCATTGTTAAGACCCATCAATAATATAGAGCCATGTATGACTTGTTTTGTCGTCTATCTTCGTTTTATTAAAGTTTATCCGGATATATGGTGCTTAAGGCTCTAAATTTGCTAACTTTATTATTTAGATGTCCTCCAGGTATTTAAGATCTTCCATAATATTATATATTTTGGAGCATGGGTACTTATTTGCAAAATCTGAATGTACTAAATCAGAGGTCATTCATATAATTTGTATGAACACAATACAAAAATATTAAATGTAACAATTAATGAACTTATGATACGTGTTATTGATGACTAGAACTCCATTCCTTCTGATATGGTATGTTGAACAGTTCTAAAGCAGGTTTAGAGAAAATTTTACCACCAAGTTTAGCAAGTAATATGGAGAAGAGCCCGCGCTAAGGGGCAATTGAGCATAGTATTTTCAACGAAAATTTTGTCAATTTTTTAAAATACTGTAGGCCTATTACGAAAATTATCCCATGGATTTTTGTGATAGATTAACCATTGATCTACAAGGATTGTCAAAGATTATTTTTGACCAAGCCAACTCTTTCTTGTTAGGATTTACATAAATACTTCATAACCTAGCCCACAAAGCATATATGCAGTACTGTATCACTTTGAAAGTTTCATCAAGAACAATTGTATTGTCTGTATATTATTTCAAGTGGCATCTATTATAAATAGACGAAATGATTCTTTTTATCTGTATTGTAACTAAGCTACACGTCTCAAGGAACTACAAAATAAAACTAGATAGAAATTCGTCATCGACAAATTTTAGGTGATACGCTGATCCGATAGTTTCTTCAGCAGGAAAATTTTGAAATACCCAAAATGGCCTGAAAACTGCTTTAAATTGGTCAAAAAATGATCTTGAGAATTTAAAAATAAACGCACAAAAATACGCACACGTCATTACACGTGTGCGCAGATGGAAATGGCACATGAAGTTGAAAAAAAACATTTTGACAATGATGATCATCATCAATATGAAAATGGAAGGCACAATTATGAAAGAAAATTGTCTCAGCTATAATGTACTGCAACTTGGGAGACGTTTGTAATATCTGTCGCAATTTGTAACAAATTTGTCACACTTTTTAATAACGTGTCGTACTTTGTAATGACTGTTGTCGCACATTGTAATAATTAAGCTGCTGCACATAGTAATAGCTGCCTGTTAACTTTGTAATAAAGTCTGTCTCACTTTAGTAACTTTGTTTTAAAATTATCACATGTTGTTGTAAAATTTGTATATGACCTTGACCCCGTAATACCATACACGAGTCTCAATAAATACAATCTCACAATATACGTGTAAGCCACCGAGTTTTAAAATGATAATCACAAGTATTTGTAAAAATTGTATATGAGCTTGAGTACCATAGTACCAATAAAAAGAAAAATAAATAA